TCGTCTCCAGCTCAGGCAGAGCTTTTGCTCGGACTTTCGTGTTTTGCGTCTGCACTCGGACAGAGGCAGAGAGTTCTCCTCTGGCCTTCTGCGTGCCTACTGTCGTGCGCGAGGCATCCGTCAGACCTTCACGCTTCCGTACTCACCGTAGCAAAATGGGATTGCAGAGCGCCGCATTGGCATGGTCATGGACGTCGCTCGTACGTCTATGATGCATGCGGCAGCCCCCCATTTTCTGTGGCCGTTTGCGGTCAGGTACGCGGCGCATCAGATCAACCTCCACCCCAGGGTCTCCAGGCCGGAGACCTCCCCAGCCCTGCTGTGGACGGGGAAGGTTGGCGATGCGTCGGCGTTCCGGGTCTGGGGATCTCGGGCGTTTGTCCGCGACTTGTCTGCGGACAAGCTGTCCCCTCACGCTGCTCCCTGCGTCTTCCTGGGGTTCCCCCCTGACGCCCCTGGGTGGAAGTTCTACCACCCCACCTCTCGCCGTGTTCTGTCCTCCCAGGACGTCACGTTCGACGAGTCGGTACCCTACTACCGCCTCTTCCCCTACCGCACTCCGTCCCTCCCCCTGCCCCCGCTCTTTCTTGTCCCAGGTCCCCCCCCGGTAGACCCCCTCCCCCCTCAGGGTCCTGCCCCTTCACGTGTGTCCCAGGTAGACGCAGTCGAGCCTGTCGAGGTCACTGGTGACTCTGGTGCTGCTGCGGGTGCTGAGCCTAGAGGTGCTGAGACTGGGGGTGCTGAGCCTGGGGGTGCTGAGACTGGGGGTGCTGAGCCTGGGGGTGCTGCGCCTGGGGGTGCGGAGCCTGGGGGTGCTGAGCCTGGGGGTGCTGTACCTGGGGGTGCTGAGCCTGGGGGTGCTGAGCTTGGGGGTGCTGAGCCTGGGGGTGCTGTGCATGGGGGTGCTGAGCCTAGGGGTGCTGAGCCTGGGGGTGCTTCGTCTCGCCGGGAGCCACTCTCTCCACAGGAGCTGCGCGAGTGGTTTGCCCGGCGCTGGAGCCGTGCTGCTGGTGTTGGAGGTTCGTCGGCTACTGAGGGTGCTGCTGTCGCGGGTCCCGGAGGTGCTCCTCCTGGGAGTACTGGAGCTGCTGGGCCTGCGGGTTCGACTGGAGCTGGTGCTGCTGAGGGTGTTGGCGCTGAGACTACCACTGACGGTAAGGCTAGCGGTGCTTCTGGTGCTGCTGGAGGTTCTGGGGCTGCTGGAGGTGCTGCTGGGGGTTCTGGAGCTACTGGAGGTGCTGCTGGAGGTGCTGCTGGAGGTGCTGCTGGCGCGGGTACTCCTGCTGGGGGTACTAGTACTGTCCCTGCTGTTTCTGGCGTCGCCACGCGGCCCCGACCGTACTTCGTTCCACTCCTGCAGCAGGTTCTTGGTCTTACACCTTCTCTTGGTCCTCCTCCTCCTCCCTTAGAGGGTCCACAGCCTGTCCAGTCACAAACACAGCTACAGCCTGCCTCCCCTTTGCCTGCTCCTTCTCCCTACGCTGGTCCTACTAGAGGTCTTACTGAGCGTCGTGAGGGTGCGTCTCGTCCTGCGTCGCCTGTTCGTGCTGCGCGCGCTAGTGGTCGCGGTTCGCGTCAGCGTCCTCCTTCTGTCCCTGGCACGCACCGGATGTCTCTACGTCCGTCCACTGCTCCTCTGCGTGCCCCTTTGCCTTCTCCTCCTGCGTCCTCTCTTCCTGCTCTTGCCGACCCGGAGTCGGACTCTCTCCGTGCTGCCTGTCCTACTGTCACGCGTCTCCTTGCTACTGCCGTCACTGACCCTTCTTTCGAGTCTACTGCTGCGTCCGCCCTTGTTACTGAGCTCGTCGACTTTGCTGCTCACTGTCGTCTAGACTACGCTGCTAGTCTTGTCGCTGAGTCTGAGTCTGTCTGTCCTCCGTCCGTCGGGGGTGAGTGTGCCCTTAGCACGGACGTCCTTGAGGACATGCAGGAGGAGTTCCAGTGCTTGGCCGCTGCTTCACCTCATCTCGTGTCCGTACTGCTTACCCCTGAGGGAGACCCGGATGCACTTGACATCCCGACCTCGCGCTCTTACGCGGAAGCGATAGAGGGTCCCTACTCCTCTCAGTGGCACGCAGCTATGGATGCAGAGATGGCTTCCTGGAAGTCCACAGGCACCTACGTTGACGCTGTCCCCCCTCCTGGGGCGAACATCGTCAGTGGCATGTGGATCTTCAGGGTGAAGCGGCCGCCGGGTTCTCCGCCTGTCTTCAAGGCGCGTTACATGGCTCGTGGCTTCAGTCAGCGGCAGGGAGTTGACTACTTTCAGACCTTCTCCCCCACCCCAAAGATGACCACTCTTCGGGTACTGCTGCACGTTGCTGCTCACCGTGACTACGAGCTGCACTCTCTCGACTTCAGCACTGCTTTCTTGCAGGGCAGCCTGCACGAGGAGATCTGGCTGCGCCGCCCACCTGGCTTCACTGGGTCTTTCCCTCCTGGTACCCAGTGGAGTCTCCGGCGTCCAGTCTATGGTCTCCGCCAGGCGCCGCGTGAGTGGCACGACACACTGAGGACTACGCTGGCGGCACTTGGGTTTGCTCCTTCTACTGCCGACCCGTCGCTGTTTTTGCGCACCGACACCTCTCTGCCGCCGTTCTACATCCTCGTGTACGTCGACGACTTGGTCTTTGCTACAGCTGACACTGCTGGACTCGCCTACGTGAAGTCCGAGCTGCAGAAGAGACACACGTGCACTGACCTGGGTGAACTGCGCAGCTACCTTGGCTTGCAGATCACCCGGGACAGAGCACGCCGCACCATTACCCTGACTAAGTCACACATGGTGCAGCAGGTCCTTCAGCGCTTCGGCTTCACGTACTCCTCGCCTCAGGCCACTCCTCTGCCTACTCGCCACTCGCTCTCAGCTCTGCCTTCGGATGAGTCCGTAGAGTCGAGTGGCCCGTACCCAGAGCTTGTTGGCTGTCTCATGTACCTGATGACCTGCACACGACCTGACCTTGCATACCCTCTTAGCATTCTTGCACGCTATGTTGCTCCTGGGAGACACCGACCAGAGCACATGGCTGCAGCGAAGAGGGTGTTGCGCTACTTGTGCAGTACGTCGGGCATGGGGCTAGTGCTTGGAGGGTGGAGTCCAGTGGTCCTCACTGGGCACGCGGACGCTTCTTGTGCTGACGACCAGGCTACGCAGCGGTCGTCACAGGGTTACACCTTCAGTCTTGGTTCCGGCTCTGTTTCCTGGCGGGCTACTCGCTCGTCTTCTGTTCTCGGCTCCAGTTGTGAGGCTGAGATCTACGCCGGGGCTATGGCTGCCCAGGAGCTTCGCTGGCTCACCTACCTGCTAACCGACCTTGGAGAGCCGCCTCGTTCTCCTCCAGTCCTGTACGTAGACAACAAGGCTATGCTGGCCTTGTGTCGAGAGCAGCGACTGGAGCACAGGACAAAGCACATTGCTCTCCGCTACTTTCTTGCTCGTGAGCTACAGCAGCGTGGACAGTTGCGGCTTGCGTATGTGGCCTCTGAGGCCAACACTGCTGATGTCTTCACCAAGGCACTTGCGCCTTGTGATCATCAGCGCTTCTGCACTAAGCTGGGTCTTGTGCATGTCTTGCCTCACTTGCTCACTTCTTGACCTTGCTTGTACTTTCACATATATATTCTCTTGATCTTGCTTGCTTAGCCTCTTGTATATCTATATATGTGATCTTGCATGTGAACTGGCCTTCTGGCCTTTGAACTTGTGTTCGGAATGTGTGGTGACCTTGTGATCCACCCTGAGCTTTGCTTTGCTTTGCTTGACTGGTCTTGTGACCCCTTGTTCTCCCCCACTTTGCCTATGGGGGTGTGTCAGAACATTGTAGCTTATACATTTTGTGTAGGCTATAGTGGGGTATCCCATAGGGGGTACAACCCAATCAGGGTTTCCTATATGTACTCACTTCATTCATAGTTGATTCATTCTCGTTCTCATTTTCACATACCCATCCCATCTGAGCTTCAGGGCGTATCTCTGGTTCCGGTCAATTGCACCGTTGATTCAACTGTTCGGGTCATGCGTAAATTGCGCATGGCCCGAAGTGGGCTGCCGAGCCGCGCGCGGCCCCAGCTTTGGGTCAATGTGCAGGTGTTGGGCGACTGACGTGCACGACCCAACCCCAACCAATCAACTTGTTGCACGATTCACGTTAGACTGCCAATTTTTGGCGGTCGTCAGCCGAGTGCCACAATTTTACCATGGACCGTATTCTTTACCTCTGCAGCCAACCACTCGGCAAATTGATCCCAGTGTCCCCGGAATGTGTCTTGAATTTCCCGCGTCGCGCTCCCAACATTTGGGGATTCATGCCGACATTTTTTACGATTTTGTTTTTAGATGGGTGTCGCATGGTTTTTTCGTAGATGTAGCAAACGATCTTTCGAACTGTTCTGGCATCCCTCCATTGGATGCGACTATTGTCTGGGGCGTAATTTTGGCGCGAAAAAGCCTCGCGCTAATTTGGAGGTCGCATGAGTACCGAGAACCCGAAGTGGTGTTTTATGTAGTTCTGGGTATCCGCAATTCGCGCATGCCCGGAACAGTGCAAGTGACCGGAACCAGAGATACGCCCTCAGTCCGCCTCCGCGTCGCTGATGTGGTTTGCTGCCTCACTCCATGCTGTGCTCCACTCCACCACACATCCATGACTGGCGAGTCGTGAGGTCAAACATGTAAGGAAAGGATACGATACATACATTCACACTCTCGATTCCCGACTCGGGGCCTGACTTAGTTGTCAGATCCAGGAGAATAGCTCGGAGCGCAGTCTCCATCTCGAAAGCCCAAATTTAGTACCTCAACCTACACTACCCTCCCCAACAACCTGTATTCATGCACCTCGATTACAACAGCCTCGGTACAACCAAACAGAATCAATGCAGAGTTATTGTTAGTCTGTGCACCCAGGCGCGATGTATGCGTAGAATGCGGCCCCACTGGGGCCCTCCCACGGGCCCCGCCTCGTAACCCGCTAGTACACGAGCTCGAAAACTCATTCACCATGCAGTCTGCGCTCGATGGTTGCCCCGCCCGGAGCCCCCGCGGGAGCTCCTCCGAGTTTCCGCAGCAATGCGCGGGTACTGCATTCTCGATGGCGGAATTTATCCCCTCCCCCGCCCCCGCTCCCGGCGCCTTCGCCCCCATCGGCTCCCGTCCGCAATCCCGCGGCCAGAAGCCTTCTTTCCCCCGCTCCGCTTCGCTGGGCGCTGGCGGAAAATCCTCCTCCGGACCCCCCCCTGGGTCCAGCGCAGAGCGCAACCTCCGCAGGCGCTCGTCCGCGGCGGGGTCGGCGGGAGCGGTCCTCGGCGCACGAGTCGCGGCGGTGGCAGCGGCGGTGGCGGCGTCTGTGGCAGCGGAAAATGCGGCTCCGCTGGTTGCTCTTAGGGCTGCTGACCTTTCCGCCACGGCGGAGGCAGCGGGGACTGCTGCGGAGGCGGCGGTGGCGGCAGCGGCGCAGCGCATCGCAAAAGCGCGGGAGCTGATGGAGCGGCTGCACCAGCCGACGGCGCACGAGTTGCGCCAGCAGCGGGAGGAGGCGGAACGGCGAGAGAAAGCGCGGGAAGAGATGCTGGAGAGGCAGCGGAACGAGGAGCGGCGAAAACAGGAGCTGGTAACCCGCGCGGCGACGATCATCGCAACCGCGGGGATGCCGGGCGCGCGGGAGTTCCGCGCGGAGCAGGAGCGGCGGGAGGAAGAACAGTGCGCGCAAGAACTGCGCGAGCAGGAGCGGCGGGAGGTGGAAGAGCAGCGGCAGAGGGAAGAGGAGGAGCGGCGCCAGCAGCTGAAAACCCGGGCGGCGACGATTGTCGCTAATGCGCCGTCGTGGGAAAAGCCGGATAATTCGGGCGTAAATTTGAGGAAATCGTCGCCGGTGCTGCTGCCGCGACGTCGCCCACTGACGCTACAGATCGACGACGCGATCGGCGATTGTAGCGCTGTAACGGTCGCTTCCCCCGCGACAGGCTCCGCCAGGCCTCCGCGGCAAGGCGCGGGGGGAGCGGAACGCAGCCCGCGATCAGCGCCGCTGGCGGCGGCGGCGTTCGCGTCCGCGCAATCAGCGATGGCGGGAGCGAAGTCCCCCGGATCGATCTCCCGGGGCGCGGCACGCTCGTTCGGGTCACCCTCACCCACGGCACTCCTTCCGCCCAAGTCTCCCGCTGCGCAGACCTGGGGCGCCGCGGAGCGCAGTTACACTACTGGTAGAAGCAGCGCGATTCACGGCGGAAACACGACTACTACTACTAGCAGCAGCTCCAGCCGTATCCCGAGGGCCTCGCGCGGCGCGTCGGTCAGAGAAAGGTCAACTAGGAGAGGCGACTCGATGGATTTCGCAAGTAGCGACCCCTTAGAAGCAGTGGAAGAGGACGAGTGGGGTCGCACGGGGATGGAGAGGCGACGCGAGAGGAGGAGAGGAGGCAGCGAGGGGTGCGGGCTCACGTTGACAGATGACTGGGCGGAGGGTCATGATGATGATGTTCCTGTAGCGAGAACGCTTGTACCGTGTGCGCTTGTACCGAGTACAAATGGAGCGAGCTGGTGGGAGCGTGAAACTAGCTTGTCGGATCTGCCTCTAGATTCGACGTCAGTGGCAGTCATGTCTCCCCGCCCGCCACACCACGCTTCCGCCGAGCTTCCCCTCGCGGGCATGCCTCCGCCGAGCCTGGCGCTCTCGCCCCCCTGCCTGATCGATCTGCACGATAGCCCTCCCTCCCCACTCCCTCTCTCCCCGTCTCCCCGCGCTCTTCCTCGCCACCCTTTCTCCCCTCACTCCCCCGTCCCCCGCTCCCCCTCCCAAGACGCTGCGAAATTCTATGGCGCATCACCACTGCCTCCAGCCTTTCAGGGCGCGAGTAAAAAGAAGGATGCTCTACCCCCCCTTTCCCCCACCCGCATTCCCCCCCACGCCTTGGCCGCCAGCCCTGCCACCAAGGCTCGGTTCGCCTACCCCCGGAGCAAAAGCTCTGCCGAAGCAGAAGGGTTGACCAGGGAAGGCAAATCTGCCGAACCTGAGGATTCTCCAGGTTGGGATAATGTTGGTGAGGTGAACAGGGTGCAATCCCTAGGCGAACGGGTTCGAGGTTCGGGCCGAGCCTGTGCTGCCGAGGCTGAGGATGTGCCTAGTGGAGTAACCCGAGCCAAGACCGTGGAAGGCAGGATTGAGGGAAGCGGAGGGGGAAGAGGGAGGGGAGGAGCAGCAGGAGGAGCGAGAGAAGTGAGGGGAGTGGGTGAGGGTGTGAGAAGAGGGGAAGTGCCGCAGAGAAGACCTGAGAATCTGTTTCATAGTAAATCCATGGAGTTAGGATCAGGAGGTATGGGATGCAGCAAGCAGCAAGCAGAAGGAGCATTAAACAGCCCGAGCAACCACAGCAGTCCGAGAAACCAGGGCAACCGGGGTAACCAGAGTAACTGGGATAACCAGGAAAGTCCGGGCGGCACAGCGGGTGTGGGAGACGGGAAGGCAAGGTTAGGCTCTGAAAGAATTGCAAGGAGAGGGCTTGTGAAGCATGCTAGTGTTGCAGAGAAGGGGAGAAGGGTGGGGAGAGGCGGGCACAGGAGGGCTGTTTCCTGGGCAGTGTCGGGGGAATTGAGGTTGGAAGGGAGGGAGGATGGCGTGGGGAGTGAACTGTTCTCCAGTCGATCACCCGCTGCCACCGCTGCTGGCGCTGCTGGCGGCAGAGGCGAGGTGGAAGCAAAGGCAGACGGGAGTGGCCGTTCCGAGCCGATTCAAATCCCTTCTGCTGCTGCTGCTGCTGCTGCTGCTGCTGCTGCTGCTGCTGCTGCTGCTGCTGCTGCTGCTGCTGCTGCTGGAGCCGACTCAGCCGCAGAAGCAGACGAGCGAGCCCAGTGGGAGGAGGCAGAGCTGCAAATCCGCACGCGGTTCTTCAAGGCGAGCCGCAAGCGCCTCTTCAGCCTCGCAGCCAAGGGCCTCTCCTCCTTCTCCAAACTCCTTGCTGCCGCCAGTGCTGCTGCCGCTGGGGCTGCTGCTGGCATGGGCGTGGGGGGTGTGGGGGTGAATGTGCTGGGTGGGGAGTTTGGGGAGGTGGAGGAGCAGTATGAGGTGGAGGGAGGGAAGGAGCTGGGCGCGGGGCAGTTTGGGGTGACACGAGTGGTGGTGTGTCGAAGCACTGGGAGGCGGCTCGCTTGCAAGACCATCAACAAGGCCTCTTTCAAGGTGTGTGTTTTTTGTGCTCCGACTATCTGTTCTTCTCCTCTACTCGCCCTCGCTTCCATGGTTTAGTGTGCCTTGCCTGCTGTGTGTGCCTTGTGCTTCTCTCCTCCCCTTTCCTTCTCCCTCCCATGATCTACCCACTCCCATCTGCTACCAACCCCGAGCCCATGCTGGGCTCCCTCCCATGCTCTCCCCCTTTTCTTGCTTCCACCGCTCCACCACCCAGTCCAAATCCGACATCGAGAACGTGCGCCGCGAAGTCGCCATCCTGAACCTCCTCAAATCCCACCCCAACGTAATTCACCTAGAGGAACCCATCGAAACCCCCCAATCCATCCACCTGGTGATGGAGCTGTGTTCGGGCGGCGAGCTGTTTGATAGAATCAAGGAGCGGCGGCGGTACAGCGAGAGGGAGGCGGCGGCGGTGATGCGGGCGGTGCTGGGCGTGCTGCAGAGCTGCCACCAGCGCCACCACGTGGTGCACCGCGACATCAAGCCCGAAAACATCCTCCTCGCCCACCCCTCCTCCCACACCGACGTGCGCGTTATCGACTTCGGAGTCGCCGCGTTTCTCAAGCCCGGGGGGAAGATGCTGACCGATGCCGTCGGGTCGCTGTTCTACATCGCCCCGGAGGTGCTTTCCGGGTCGTATGGGACGCCGGCGGATGTGTGGTCGGCGGGGGTTGTCCTGTATGTGCTGCTGGCCGGCGTGCCGCCCTTTTGGGCGGAGACGGAGGCGGGGGTGGCGAGGGCGATCAAGGAGGCGGGGGTGGGGTTTAAGGGGTCGGCGTGGAGGGGTGTTACGGAGGAGGGGAAAGATTTGATTCTCAAGATGCTGGATCGGGACCAGAAGCGGAGGGTGTCGGCACAAGAGGCTCTAGGTGGGTGCTGTTGGGTAAAATGGGTCTTCCTGTTGGGTAAGGTGGGCCCTTTGAAATGGGTCTTGTTGGACAATTGTGTATGGTTGAATAAGGTTCATGGGAGGTACGTGGGAGCATTATGCATTGAAAGCTTCACGAGTCAGGTGTGAGGGAGGGCTTGTGTAGGAACATGGGCTTGCGAGTGGGTCTCTTCTTGCTTCCCACATACATTTTGTCTCCTACGCGCCCCCTTGTGTTATGATGTGGGTGGGAAGACGCTGTTTGCGTGTCCTTTTCCTTCCTTTTCTTTTCCCTCTTCTCCCCTCCTGTCCTGTCTTCTCCCATCCTACTCATCTCAATGTCTCTCTTCCATGCCGACTTTCCTTTGACTGCCTTGTTCTGGTTGCAGAGCATCAGTGGTTCGGTTGCTTTCAATAAATCTCGCTGCTCTGATTTGAAAAGAATCAAATGAGGAACACACATACGTCCAAGTGATCCTGTAGAATATAACATTATTTCGGAACAGTGGAAACCACTATTCTAATCTGATAGCCTCATGTCAAACTGTATTTATGTGTGCTACCGTATCGCCCCGGATATACCCGCAGGCAGGCCTATTAAAGGCGCATGCGCTTCTCTCTGGAGCAATGCGCTTATGGCCGATCCTCAATTAGAAGCGCACCTCCTAAAAAATCGCTACTTACCATATTACCATATAAGTGCACCCTTGCAGCACAGACAAGAATGTAAGTTGATTATTTTGCACTCCTTTTACTACGTATCTTCACTAGCTAACAATTTCAACCATAATTTTTTTTTCACATACAAATGACTAGGGTCCTACCCTACAAACCATTTTCTTGATTAGTCTAGCCTAAGGCCTATTCCACCACAAACCATTATCACAAGTAGTCTAGCCTAAGGCCTACTCCTCGTCCGATTCAGGCTCCGTGGAGTTGTTGCCAAAGAACCCGTCTGCTTGGATCTTGTAGTCTACCTCTACCTCGTGGGACAGCTGGCTTCTCCGGTGCGCCATCACCAGTCCGTCTCCACTCCCGTCAAGGGCATTGCTGATGCCGCAGGTGAGGAACACTTTCTCAATCAGGTCGCCGGGCACAGCCTTCCACGCACGTGAAATCCACTTGAGCACCACCTCCGGAGGTGGTTTCTTAATGTTCCCTGCACCACACATACGGGAGTGGGAAACACGTGAGTCCACAAGCAGGCAGACAAGCACACGAAGGGGTCACGGGAGGACATTTCGCTTACATGCGGGTGTCAGGATGTTCATGCCGTCCTGCTCAAACCAGGTCTGGTACTGCTGCCAAACACTCGTCTTGAAGCTCTTGTTGATAGACACATCGAGCGGCTGCAAGTCTGCCGTGCATCCCGCCGGGATGATCGCCGGCATGATGTTGAGCGCCGCGAATCTCGCCTTGACTTCGGGTGTCAGGTGACCACGGTAGGAGTCAAGCACCAGCATGGCGCTCCGGCCCTGCACGCCGAATTTCGGTTTCAGGAACAGCACCACGCCCGCATCGAGCCACTCGATGACGCCCGCGGCCTCCATCCACCCGATCACTTGGCAGCCGACCACGACATCTGCACACAAGCAAGCGGTGGTTAATCAATTTTTGTTCTTACCGTCCAAAACACGCACGTTAACATCGTCTTTCCGTTCGGAAAGTCACCCACGGCTTCAACTTCTCGCCCGTCGCCGTGCACGTTAGCATCACGGTGACTCTTTCTTTTTGGTAACCACCGCTGCGGATGGGCACCGACTTCACGCCCGTCTGCTCCACCGTGATAGTCGCCGGCATCTCCAACCACAAAGGCGGTTGGCGTTGATGATGTAACGATTGTCGAGCGTACTCGTTGCACGCGTCGTGGACGAACTGCCAAAATTCCTTGCACTGCTTCGCCACGTCTGCGCACGGGGAGGGAGGGACACATAGAAGGGCGGATGAGGACCGGTACAAGATAAACATACATGGGCTGATAAAAGTACACGGACAGATACAAGATAAAGAAACAATGGCGGATGACCGTGCACGGACAGGCACTTACGTTGCTGTATCTTTTGCGCCACCTTAGTTTTCATGCGCACGGTGAGGTTCCACCGCTTGCAAAACCGCTCCGTCCATCGCTGACTCCCTTTCTACTTGACCTCCGGGAACAACACCTTCATCACCTCGCGTGGCCACTCTTGCAGCCGGCTGACTGATACTGCCACACCGCAGCGTTGCCAGTCCAGGAGTTGGGCGTACACCTTCAACTCCATGGGTCTATACCAGGAAGACCTTCCGCGCCCATGCAGTCGACACCGTGCGCTGTGTGCAGCCTTCAGCTCCTCCGCTTGGGTTTTCCACTCCGTGAGGCATTTGCAGTGTATGCCAGACTCCCGCGCGACCTCGCTTATCGATGCCGCAAGCTCTAGCCGTACGAGCCACTTTAGTTTCTCCTGCGCGGTGTAGCGTTGCCGTTTATGTTGAGTCCGCTTGTGCATGGGAGAGGGGGGGCGGGCATCTCGGTTCTCAGATGAGGGGTGGGGTCGTTTTTTGTTAATTGGCGGATACGTTGGTATCGGCATCTTTTCGCGTGGTGCCTCGCGCCACCAAGATTTCGCGTTGTCATCGTCCGCGTCAGTTGCATCACGATCTGGGAACGTCCTCATCGGCGCCTTCTTCACCGTCGCCTCCATCGTCGCCTCCGGCGTCGCTGTCGCCGGGTGTTATGTTTATCGGCGGCCACGTCTTTGTCGGCGCCCACAGCCAGCTCGTCCCACGTGCAGGCTTCAAAATTTCCCCACCGCGGTGCAGGCGGCGGAGCATGGATGAACACATCGGGGGCCTTGGGTGTGTCCGGTTCAGACAGCCACTCGTCAAATGTGGCTCGCAAATACAGCTGGAGCACGGGCCGTTGATGAGAATTACACGCATCAGGAACAGGAGGACTAGGAGGATTCGGAGGATTCGGAGGAGCGGGAGGAGCAGGAGGAGCAGGAGGTGCAGGAGGAGCAGGCGGAGAAGGAGGTGCAGGGGGTGTAGGTGGCACTGGAGGCGCTAGTGGCTCGCGGGTATACCACTCGTCCGCGGTAAGTCGCCACGGGCAAGTTGGTTTCTTCTTGAAGAGGACGTGCGTCCCACTGAATTCCGCCATGGCTACGCCAACTAGGCGGGCTAGACTTGGAAACTGAATGGAAAATATGAAGAGGACGGTGCACAAATGGGCAACGACGGGGACCTTTGCGGGTTTGCGGCTCGAGGTCCTCGTCAATGACAAACAGGAAACCCCCGCCTACCCCCGTAGAGGAACCTGCATGGCAGCATATACGCAGCGCTGGCAGGGAATCTTCCCCACCCTTCGAGGGGGTTCAGAAGAAATGCACATGCCACGCAGCGCATGCGGCTGTGATTGGGCCGCACGGCAACATCCCCGTCAATGCTGTCACGTTCGATGGTTCAAGACAAAGTTGTGCGGTGGGAAACCGAACCGCAGCTGTTTTTGCCTGAAAACCATGCACGATCCCACTTGTTGCATGGTCGGTTGGATTCGCCTTATTGCGGCCTTCAGTTTGGTATGTTTAAAAGTGAATTTCATTTTTTTCCTTTTATAGGCGCATGCGCTTATACTAACAACTCAATTAAAAGCGCACCCCCCATAAAAACATTGATTTATTATAAGTGCACCTGCACTTTTATCCGGGGTAATACGGTATGCTTGTTAGGCTAAAGTGAGTTGCAGTCTATAAGATACAGCACAGGGACCAGGTTGCCCTTAGCTGAATGCGAGTCCCTCTTGATGTACATGGTGGAGTGAGGTGAGACGTAAGGAATTATGAAATTTATTACATTCAATTTTTTTTTCTGAACGTGCTGCTCTAGATCGGAAGTGCTACTGTACTATCGGCTGATGGATACAGTTTTTAAGTCGGGTTGGTGTTGGTCCAGCCGACACGACTCGGCAGCACATGCTCCTTAAAGGTGGGCTATGTTTAGCCTTCGATATAAGAATCAGGAGGAAAAGTTTGGACCGTACGGGGAAGTTGGGGAGGGTTTCCTTCGATGAGCGCATGTGCCATGGCGGTTCCCCGAGGCATCTTCCCAGCCTGTGCACCGGATCCACAACCTCACCGCGTTTGAGCAGCACTGCATTGAACTGTACATCCAGATGCGACTCGAGCGCAACAGCAGCATCGCCGCCAACTGTCACAATCCCAACCACTAACCACTGGGATAAAAGGGCTTGTTAAGTAGCGGGTCAGTGCGCCCATAACCCCTCATGACAACGAGCCTATAACCCTTCTCTAGGATCAATCGGGGATCACTAGTGAACCTCTGACACCCCCCGCACTGGGATGCCCGAAGTGCACACAATGAGATTCGAACCCGAAACCTTCGCTCTGATACCATGTCAGAATCCCAGCCGCTAACCACTGGGATAAAAGGGCTTGTTAAGTAGCGGGCCAGTGCGCCCATAACCCCCCAGGACAACGAGCATGTAACCCTTCCCTAGGATCAATCGGGGATCACCGGTGGACCTCTGACACCAACCAACCTCCCTGGACCTCCATGATTTATGCTGCCCGCCTCTACACCACACTGTACACTCCTCATCCACCCACCAAGAAATCGTGCTTCTTTTCCCACATCCCACCCAGACCTCTCCCTGTCAGGGCTCCTTGGCTACTTGGCTATACTTTGCACACCGTCATGTATTTTTCGCCCATCGCGTGGGATGGGGAAGGGAAGCTTGAAATCGCTGGGTCACTCCGAAGAGAAATCCAATCCTTGAATCTGCCCAGCCCTTGGTTCTGCCCGGAGCACGTCTCCTGCAACGGAAACGAGCAGCATCTCGTCGCCCTCGTCATGCAGCTTCATGCCGATGTCCTTCAACTGACCAGCCAATAGCAGGTTCGCGTGCACTCCCGGAACGTACAATACGTCGGGGATGAGAATCGGCTTCCCGTCCTCCCCTTTCAAAGCAACAGTTCACTGCCTTCGACGTTCTGAAGCGCCCTGTTAAATCCGCGCACGTGACGGATTTCGCCTCCTGGCTTCATGTCGACGAAGGCCTCTCGCGTTCCCATAAGATGATGAGAGCAGACGCTGTCGAGGAGCACCACGGTCGGATTCGCCTGCACAGCTGCTGCGACCGCTTGGAAGTCTTTGCCAGCCTCCGGTGCCAGCGAAATAGTTGACTCGACCACGCCAACCATCGAACAAAAGGCTTCCTTGCCGCCCGAGGTATCTCCCTCTGATGTCGACAGTGTTTTCGACGGCGCTGGTTTCTCCTTGCGCGGCTGGTTGTCTCGACGACGACGGTCGCTGTCAGACTTTCTGCGGCTTCCTCTCCGATCGACGTCAGACTCATCACGGTCAGGGCAGTCGTACAAGAGATGGTCGGGGTCTCCGCAAATGTAGCAGCGGTTGTCAGAA